GAGTCTGTAGCAATGATCTGCAAACCCTTTCTGTAAAGGGTAAATAATTAATGCTATTGACAGTAAATAGTTAATGCTTTGCAGGTCCATATGGCCTCTGCTGCAGCTATTCAACTGTCACAGTAGTACAAAAGCAGCCACAGACAATACCTAAATGAATGAATGGGGACTATCCAATAAAATTTTACAAAAACAACAGGTCGGTGCACACAGGTTGGTGCACACATAAGCCAGTCTGTTGATTCCTGGTTATGGTAATTGGTCCAAAAGCAATACCTAAGAAGTTTATCAAGAAAAAATCTAAACCCCATTCAGGGATATAAGAAGACCCAGATAGGGCCTCCCCGGTGGCGCAGCGGTTGAGCGCTGGGTTGCAAAGCTGCCTGCAGCCTCTGCAGCGCCAGTTTGATCCCCGGCTGCTCCCCGGCCACCAGAGGAGGGTCCCACATGGTGCGCAGACCTCTCCTGCCGCCCGCTGCTCCCCTCAGCAGTGTACTTCGGTCCTTCTGCCTGCTCTGCTCCCCGCTCTGGCTCTGGTGGATTCTCTCACCCTCCCGCGCTTCTGACTGTACCCAGTGCTTGTATAAATAAATAAATAAATAAATCTTAAAAAAAAAAAAAAAAAGATACCTGCTTAGTTAATGATGTCACAGTCAAAAGTTAACAGGAAGGTAACAGAATGGCAGAGGTATTTTCAGTATTTAAAACAAATAAGGGATAATGTCTAGAGTATACATATAATTCCTATAAACCAAAAAGACAGGAAGTCAAAACAGAAAAAAATAAACAAAGGATATAGATAATGGGAGAAGGTATTTGCTGTGTTTAAACAAAGGATTAATGTCTGGATATACAAAGAATTTCTACAAATCAACAAGGAAGGAAATCAAATAGAAAAAATAGACAAGGATATTAATCTTAGTTTCACATACTATGAAGTCTATGGAATCTCATATACAAAATGCAGAAGAGAAGGCTCATGTAAAAAGGCTTAGCCATGCCCGCTGCTCCCCTCAGCAGTGTACTTTGTCCATCTGCCTGTTCTGCTTCCTGCTCTGGCTCTGGTGAATTCTCTCACCCTCCCGCGCTTCTGACTATACCCAGTGCTAGTATAAATAAATAAATAAATCTTTAAAAAAATAAAAAATAAAAAGGTTTAAACTTAATTATAATCAGAGAAATACAAATCAAAAACAACCAAGAACTGCTCCTTTATATCCATCAAATTGGCAAAAATTAGAAAGATGGATAATGTCAAAGATTCCTGAGGATGTGGATATAAATTCCCACACATTGGTGAAATAATGTGAATAGTGCAATCATTCTGAAAAGCAATTTGACAATATTTTCAAAATTCAGCATGCCCATCGATGTATGACTCAGATGAATATTCACATTCATTTATAAATTTGCTTATTTTAGCATTTGTTATGGTAAGAGAGTTAAAGGCAATCTATATTCCTATTACCAAGTAACTTCATGAGAGAAATACAGAGGCTGCACAGTGGTTATGTGCTGGGATGCTAGAGCTACAGAGTCTGAGTTTAATTCAACCTCTACCACTTACTAGTTCTGACTTTAAACAAGGGAAGTAGAAAATCTGAGTAACCTCTTCTCTGTGCCTCTCATCTTTAAAATGGTAGTAATAGTAACTACCTCATAGGGTTGTTGTGAGAACTATGAGTTAAAACATTTAAGCACCTGCCACAGTTAAGTACTATTTAAGTGCTAAAATTCCTGTTAACATGAAAGCATACGGAAGTAGGAAGTTCTGCTTACATATAGTACAATAACATGAGAATATCACGAAAGCAGTGTTCATTTAAAACAGAACAGGAATATTTATAGCATAATATTCACTTACGTGAATTGAATATATTAATTTAACTCTACATATCTTAGACGTCATGCATTATAGAAACACATGAAATATAGCAGAATGGGCGCCTGTAGAATAGAGGGAATAAGAGTTAAGTTTAGGAATAAAGAGAAAGACTATACAAGAAAGGCGTCGTGCCTGAATCATTTAATATTCTGTGAAAAAAGGAACAAGATTTACTCATTTATGCAATCTGCAAGTGGGGAAAAGTTATCTTGAAGACAGGCCGGGGAAAACCAAGAAAAGAAATCCAGAACCAGAGAAATAACCAGTTAACCCGCTTGGAAACCACCTCATCTTAGAACTTACACTTAGGTGTAATAATACCATCCTTACCGTTTAAGGTATCTTTGGAGAGATTTTCTTGAAGTCCAGAGCATCCTAACAAAAGTATTCAAATAATCTTTTGAGCTGCAAACTGACGTCCAAAGAGAATTATGATTGGTCCAATGTTGCTCAAATGGGGAGCTATCTATGTGGAGGTCCCAGAAGAAAATGAAAATTTTGAGTAACCTAGCCTTTCTCATCAAGTCAAAATCTGTAGTGTATTAAAAACTCTACAAGTATTAAAATGATATTTATCCCACTAAGAACTGTTAACTTAAAAAAAATCCACTAAAAGTAAAATGAGGGGCCTGTGAAGCTGCCCACAGCCTCTGCAGCACGAGTTCGATCCCCAGCTGTGCGGGGAGCTACCCACATGCGCAGCAGACCTCTCCTGACTCGCCCGCTGCTCCCCTCAGCAGTGTACTTTGGTCAATCTGCCTGTTCTGTTCCCCCTGTTTTTGTTGAATCCTCTCACCCTCCATACCTCTGGCCTGTACCCTAGCTCTTGTATGCATAAATAAATAAATCTTTTTTTAAAAAAGTCAAATGAGCAGCTCTCCTGCCCACCTGTGATTATGAGGGTGCCTCTTTTTCTTTCTCCTTTTCCTAATAAATCTGACCTTTTAAAATGTAAAAATAAAGTCAAAGGATAAATGGGAAAATTATATAAAAGTTCACTACCAATTAATAAAAGGATGAACAATCAATAAAGGGAATTCACATATATCTAATAAAATTTTTTTAGAAAAAGATTCATTTTTTGAGGTATAATTAACATATATTAGTTACAGGTGTAGAACATGATTCAATATCTGTATATATATTGGGAAAAGATCACCACTATAAATAAAATTAATATCATCCCATACATAACTATGTTTCTCCTTGTGATAAGGATCTAGAAGATCTACTCTTTTTAAAAAAAAAAATAGATTTATTTATCATACAAGAACTGGGTGTAGGTAGAGGTTGGGGGTGTAAGAGGATTAACCAGAAATAGAGTGGGGAGCAGAACAGGTAGATTTACTTAAGTAAACTGCTAAGGGGAGTAGCAGGCGAGTCAGGAGAGGTCTGCTGTGCCACATGTGGGTTAGCTCACTGGCTGGAGATAGAAATCAGCTGTAGTGGTGATAGTGCTAAGGCTTAACCCCTAGGCCATCAGGGAGGCCCTGAAGATCTACTCTTGTAGCAGATTTCTAATATGCCTTACAGTATTAACTCGTCACTGTGTCATACATTATATAGTCCAAGGCTTATTTTTTTTAAGACTTATTTATTTATTTTTCAGGTTTTTTTTTTTTTTTAAATTTTTATTTATTTATTTATTTATACAAGCACTGGGTACAGTCAGAAGCACGGAAGGGTGAGAGAATTCACCAGAGCCAGAGCAGGGAGCAGAGCAGGCAGAAGGACCAAAGCACACTGCTGAGGGGAGCAGCAGGCGGCGGGAGAGGTCTGCGCACCATGTGGGACCCTCCTCCGGTGGCCGGGGAGCAGCCGGGGATCGAACCGGCACTGCAGAGGCTGCGGGCAGCTTCGCAACCCAGCGCTCAACCGCTGCGTCACCGGGGAGGCCCAAGACTTATTTATTTTATAACTGTAAGCTTGACCCTTATGATCCTCTTCACCCACCTCCCACCCACTCTTTGGCAAATACCAACCTGTTCCTCTATGAGCTTGGTTTTTTGTTTTGTCTTTAGATTCCACATATAAATGAGATTATATATTTGTCTTGATCTGTCTGACTTATTTCACTAGCATAATGCCCTCAAGTTCTATCCATGAAAATAAAACACTTAAACTTCACTGACGAATATTTTTAGAAAAGCAGTCATCATTTGTCATCAAAAGGGAAAAATAAATTTTCATGGTTACACCCAGTTTTGGCAATAGTGTTAGAAACCTCATTAATAGCTGGTAGGAGTGGAAACTGGAACATACCTGGAAGGCATCTGACAAGACATGGCAGAAATCTTAAAATAATACATACTCTATGATTCAGGAGTTCCTTAGAATTTATCCTTAAGTATAATCATAGAGGGCCTCGCTGGTGGCGCAAGGGCTTAAGCACGCACTATGAAGCAATCCACATCATATGCAGCAAAAGTTCGATCCCCGGCCAGCCCGGGAGAAACCCACATGACAAGGCAGACCTCTCCTGTCTCGCCGGCTGCTCCCCTCAGCAGTGTTTTTCAGTCAGTCTGCCTGTTCTATTCGCCACTCTATCTCTGGTGGATCCTCTCACTGCCCTGCCCCCTCTGTTGCATCTCTGGCCTGTACCCCAGCTCTTGTATGCATAAATAAATCAATCTTTAAAAAGAAAGGAAAAAAAAAGAATAATCATAGAGTCTCCCTAGTGGTGCAGGGGTTAAAGTCTCAGCACTATCAAGCTATCACCAGCAACTGCAACATGAGTTCAATCCCCAGCCAGGGAACTAACCCACATGGCACAGCAGAACTCTCCTATCTTACCAGCTGCTGCCCTCAGCAGTGTATTTCAGTCAATATGCCTATTTTGCTCGCCACGCTGTCTCTGGTGAATCCTCTCACCTTCCATACCTCTGACCTACACTCCAGTTCTTGTATTCATAAATAAAAATAAACCTTTTTTCAAAAAAAGAATAATTATATATGTCAGCCAAAGATGTAATTAAAAGCTCTAAATTATAAAGCATAAAGCTTTATGTAAGCAAGAAATTGGGATCAAACTAAAACTCCAAAAGTAGAAGAATCAATAAAGTTATAGAAAATCCATATAACAGAACACCAATAGCAACTATAATTGTCAATATTTAAATACCAACTCTGCTAATTAGTAGTTGTATAGCCCAGAGAAAGCTAATGAATCTCTCTGCACCTCAGTTTTCCTGGTCATAAAATAGGTCTATTGTGAGGGTTAAATTAATTAACATACCTAGAGCATGTAGGGTAGCACTGACACATAACAGGAACTCAATAAGTAAGTTTTCTGTTTTGTTTTGTACAGGACACTAGACTAATTTTCTGGAAAGATAGTAATAATAAAAAACAGAAAAAGGAGGCTATAAGCCAATAAATATAGATTGTTTTTATGAAACAAATATATCTCATAAATTTACAAAAATAATCGCTAGAAGGCTGTATACCCAAATAAAGCACCTTTCTTTGAATAATAGAATTACAACTATTTTTCTTAATATCTGTATTTTTAAGTTTTTCAACAACAAACATGCTTGCTTTTATGAAAGGTAAAAACTATCATCTCACCAAAATTAAACTAAAACCTACTGCCTGCTGAAATTTTTTTTTTTTTTTTGCTTCAACTGGTGATGAATCCACTCCAAATAAGTAGGATAATGGAATAAAGAATCAATTACAATTACAGTGCTTTTCTTAGCCTTTATAACCACACAGTACAAGTTCAAAGTCTCTATTCTACAAACTGAATATATAAGTGGCAAAATGAGACTTTTCTTTCCAAAAGCTCATTTATTTCAGCTTCTTCTCTTAACGTAGAGGGATTAGACAGATTCATTTTGTTATCCTGAGCCTTTCATTTAGAAAAGCTGTCACAAAAAAGAACTTGTTCCAAGAGGAAAACAGTACAAAGAACCAACCAAATTCTCATTGTCCTTCATAAGGGAAAACTGCATGGCTGGCAGTATTGACATGTGGCATTTATAATGACTTCTTTATTGTAACAGGTGAGGAAAGGCCCTAATGATGGACAGATCTTCTTAGTCACATGAGCCTTTTGGGGTCTATTTTCTCTAAGTGAACCAGGGGTTTCAGCTGCTCGACAAAGTTCCTCATGTCATCAGAGACCATGTCCTGCCCAGCTGGTGCAACAACACTTAGTTCCACGAAAGGCCCTAATGATGGACAGATCTTCTTAGTCACATGAGCCTTTTGGGGTCTATTTTCTCTAAGTGAACCAGGGGTTTCAGCTGCTCGGCAAAGTTCCTCATGTCATCAGAGACCATGTCCTGCCCAGCTGGTGCAACAACACTTAGTTCCACAAGGTAGGAGAGTGACAAAGCCTCAATGCTGTCCGTGTTTCCAGGCACCAAGATGCGGAAGATCTTATACACCATAATCTTCATGATGCCCTTACGGAACAAGTGTCCCTTGGCAAGAAACTCATGGTCCATGCGGAAACCCATTTCCATTAAGAAGTCGGTGAGATTCTCAGATGTTGCAATGTCCACACAGTTTCGTACAAGGGCATGGCGGTTCTTGTCTCCCATTTCTGGCTGCCCCAGGTAGCGCAGATGCCAGGGTGCTCCTGCCCTATCCATAGAGCGCCGAGCCCTTAGAACAAATGGACTGGCCTGCTGGCCCTTAAGAAGAAAGACCATCTCATGGTCAAGGAAAGTCTCAGGTTCCATGTTGTCACACAAACCACGAAGTCGGTGGGTGAGGCTTTCCAAGCTGTGATCTAAAACACTTCCTGAACAAAGAAAAACACGCTATTGAGTTCCATCTTTCATGCTGAGTAATGAAATTAGCAAAAAAACTTAAAAATAAAAGTTTAGTGCAGTGTTTTGTAAAGCACAAACCCAATATGTGAACTTTTTTTGGCGTAAAGATTTATTTACTTATTTATACAAAAACAGGGGTACAGGCCAGATACACCGGAGGTTGAGAGGATTCACCAGAGACACAGCGGGGAACAGAAGAGGCAGACTGACAAAATACACTGCTGAAGGGAGCAGCGAGTGCAACAGGAGAGGTCTGCTGGCCGGGATGGAACCAGTGCTGCAGAGGTTGCGGACAGGATCGAACCAGTGCTGCAGAGGCTGCGGACAGCTTCACAGCGCTGTGCTCAACTGGCTGCGTCACCAGGGGAGGCCCCCAATATGTGAACTTTTAGAAGCTTTATACTGCCAACTCAATACTACTCAACTATACATTCAAAAATGTTTAAGGTAAATTTAATACTACCTGCTAACCATGATTTAATTAAAAAGTTGATGTCTACTGGGTACTAGAAACTATCAGAATGTCTCTGTCTAATGGTCTCTCATCTCCACAGAAGCTTAATAGAAAAGCAGGAACCAGGTTATTCAAGTTCTCGAGTTCACCTACCCTGCAGCAGGTACTCCATCATGTTAATAGTGCCTCCAGTGACAGGCATCATGGTGACTGGAGGTGCCTCCATGGTGTCTGACTTGAAGACAAGTGAACTGGACTCAGATCAAGCAAAGCACAGGGTACACCTGGTGAAGAGTCAAATTTGTTAGTACATCAGAGAGGTGGAAGACACCAGGTCTGCTTGTGTAACTGGGCATGACATCAAGATTCATCCAACCATTCAAAACTTGCTGAGTGGTTACTATATAGACATTGTCAGGAAATAATACAGAAATATAAAACTGTTATAGGACAGGTAGACCTGGTTATGGAGTTACAGCATAATCTCATAGTTTCAAAGACTGAAACCTCTAATAGTTTTCTGTGCAATCGTGAAGTCGTCGCCAAATCTGCTATTCTGGGAGTCAATATCTCCTTTAATAAATGGGGCCAGTTACAACACTTTATCACTCAGATGACAAACTGCACATGTAACAACATTCAGAAGAACAGAAAGGTGACATAAGGTCTATCCTTCAATTTATAGCTGAGGACAGAGACTCGGAGAGCGGCCTATGAAAAAATATCAAGTCGGTGGCAGTGCCTGGAGCAGGCTAGAACTTGGAGGAGTTCCACCTCTCTGAAAATGCCTTTTAAGGCGTCTCAGGCATTAACGTGTTCTAAAGAGGGTGATTTAGGTCCTCCTAAGGCGGCAGAGGGCACATACCCACTTACTAAGGAAACCCACCTCCGCGCCTTCTCCAGCCTCTTTTCGAAGATCCAGGAATTACAAAAGCCACTCGGAGCTTTTGAGCCACAATCAGCCTACAACTGTGTTAAAATCCCCTTGATAGTGCAACTACACTTCCTCCTCCTCAGTGCCCGTAAGAAGCCGATGTCGCACAAGTCGCACAACACTGCCCCGCGACGTAAGGGTGCCGAGAGGGCACAAAATATCCCTCTTTGTTACGGGACAAACAAGAGCGCATGCGCACTACGCGATGCTGCGGTCTGGAAGATGGCGGCTTCCTTTGGAACCTTCCCTTGGGCGTGACCAAGCGCCGCTACGTCATAGGCGGTCCTCTATAAAAAATATTTTCAAGTTGGGCGACCTGGAGATTTTCTCTGTGTAGGAAATTACTTTTAACTAACGGGGAGAATAAAACCTGGGGAAGGGAGCTGCAGAAGAAAGAGAAGGAGAATGTTATAAAACGGATTTCTTTTTCTTTGGGTACCTAAAGGTGAAAAGGAAAGACACCCTTTACTGTTTAGCATATTGTTCAAAAAAATTAGGAAGCTCAGCAATACATCTAATATTTGTTTTATTGTGCATATTGTACTTAAGTGTTAAATATAGGGTGATAAGTGAATTCAAATATTTATTGAAAGCTGCTTAGTGCCATGCACAAAAGATGCAGAGAAAGTGGGGACTAGAGTGTGGCTATTGAGGCACTCTCCTGGCGCCAAATTTAAGGGCCAGGGAAAAACACTGTTACGAAGATAAATACTATTTTAATGCAATATTTTACAAAATTAATGTCAAAAATCTGTGATAGACAAAATATCAAAATTTGAAATTTGATCATCAGTGCAGTCCAATGAGGCAAGTATAATTATTACTGTAATTTTACAGATGGGGACACTAGATGTTAAGCAACTAGATGTTAAATAACCAACAAGGGAGTGGAGGCTGGCATGCAAATCTAAGCCTGATTTCAGCTCCCACCCTTTTAATTACTATATATACTGCTACTTCTAACTCTAGTTCCTCTGCTGTAATTTACACCACCTCCCATTCATTCATATTTTTAAAAATTGACATTTCTTGAAAGTCTATTGTGTTCTATACATTCTGTTAGCTGTTGACTCCATCTTTCCCCTCAAAAGAGCTTATAGGGGGCCTCCTCGGTGGCGCAGCGGTTGAGCGCTGGGTTGTGAAGCTGCCCGCGGCCTCTTCAGCGCTGGTTCGATCCCCGGCTGACTGTACCCAGTGCATGTATAAACAAACAAACAAACAAATAAATAAATAAAAAACATGCCTCTATAAAAAAATTAAAAAAAAGAAAGAAGAGCTTATAGGGGACCTCCCTGGTGGCCTAGGGGTTACCTGAGCTCCCAGCACTATCACTAGTATTACCTGAGCTCCCAGCCAGGGTGCAAACCCATATGGTGCAGCAGACCTCTCCTGTCTCCCCTTAGCAGTATATTTCAGTGGATCTGCCTGTTCTGCTCCCCACTCTGTTCCTGGTGAATCCTCTCTTCATCCCTTCCATCCCCATACCCTCTCCGCACCTCTGGCCTGCACCCCAGTTCTCCTATTCAAAAATAAAAAAAAAAAAAAAATCTTAAAAAAAATAAAATTCATTTGAAAAAACCCTGTTTTTAAAAAAAGAGAGAACTTATAGGCAAGTTGTGGGAATTAGAGTTGAATTAAGGAGACCTACCATATAATTTAAATCTATAGGAAAATGAGATATAAACAACTTGCCTGCTTTGGAAGCAAACAGAACACTTGACCTGTCTTGGGGCATCAAAGAATGACTCCTGGAAATGGTAATGCCCAAAGTTACTTGAAGTAAGTGTTAATCAGATAAAGAAGGGGGGAAGGGCCTCCCTGGTGGTGCAGTGGGTTATGACGCAACCTATGAAGCTATCTGCAGCACAAGTTTGAGTGTGATCCCAGGCCAGGGAGCTGCCCACATGGCACAGCAGACCTCTCCTGACTCGCCCGCTGCTCCCCTCAGCAGTGTATTTCAGTCAATCTGCTGTTCTGTTCCCCACTCTGTCTCTGGTGAATTCTCTCACCCCCACACTTCTGGCCGGTATCCCAGTTCTTGTATGCATAAATAAATAATTTTTTTTTTAAAAAAGAAGGGAGTAAAATGATTCCAATAATGGAAATACCATGTACAAAAGGATATTGAGTTAAATAGAATTAAGATATAGAATCTGAAGATAAGGAGGGTAAAAATATGAGCCTGGAGAAGGGCCCAGATCCTAAAGGATGTTGCTTGCCATATCATGGAACAGATGTGAGATTTATTTATTTATTTATTTATTATTTTTATTTATTTATACAAGCACTGGGTACAGTTAGAAGCGCGGGAGGGTGAGAGAATTCACCAGAGCCAGAGCTGGGAGCAGAGCAGGCAGAAGGACTGAAGTACACTGCTGAGGGGAGCAGCGGGCAGCAGGAGAGGTCTGCGCGCCATGTGGGACCCTCCTCTGGTGGCCGGGGAGCAGCCGGGGATGGAACCCGGGTTGTAGAGGCTGTGGGCAGCTTTGCAACCCAGAGCTCAACCGCTGTGCCACAGGGGAGGCCTCAGATGTGAGATTTAAAGAGATCATTCAGGCTACAGTGTCGAGAAAAACTGGGAAAGGAGAACCTGGAGAAAGAAGTCTAGTTAGGGGCATTGACAGCTCCAGCTGAAAAATACTTGTGAGAGAAAAGACAGATTTTAAAAAATATGAAAGAATAGTTTGATGACTAACCAAAAAGATAGACTGAGAGATACAAATCTCTAGATTTCTACCTTTGGTGTCCATGAGTAGTGCTGTTCTCTGAGCTAGGAAACACAAAGCAACATGGATAAGAGAGGAAAGATGAGTTCATATGTTGACACGTTGAGCATATATTGTCTGTGGAATACCCAAGTGGCAGTGCCCAGCCAGACTTCAGAGAAGGGAGCTGAACTGGAGGTAGATATTTTGGAGTCAGACCTTCATAGCTGAAGGCCTGTCATTAAAGAGGAAGAGAAATGGCTAAGAACCAGATCTTGAATAGAACCCTTACATTTATTAAAGCTGCAAATACCCCAGGGCTTAGGATGTGCCTCCTAGTCTTACCTAATGTTTCATAACATTTGGCAGACTGACAAACTCTCTGCTGTTATGATTGGAGGAGGTTTTTAAATTGCTGGACCTCTCTTTTCCTATATAGACAATGACTTTGGAATAAAAAGCCCACTGATTTATGGGTTCTTTGAGTCATCATAGTATTTACCCAAATTATTTCTATGGAGGGTTACATTAAAAAAAAAAAAAAAAGGAGCGACAGAAAATGGGTGAGCAATATGGTAAAACTTGCAAAACTTGGGCAAGCCTAGATGTTATGGGGATGGGTTTCTCTGATAAGGAAGTGAGGCCTGGAGCTTAGAATAAGACTAACTTCTGTCCTCTCCCATTACCCAGCTATGTAACCTTGGGCAATTCACTTCCCCTCTTTGAGCGTCAACTTCGTTTTTTTTTTTAAACAGGGATACTAATAGTACTTTCTAAGAGGGGGGTTGCAAAAATAAAATGAGATGTTTATGAAACAGCATGGTGTGTCATTTATAAACAATCAATAAATGGTAGCTGTTATTATTATAATATTTATAACCCTCATTTGAGCAAGCACATTCTGTGTTATTGAATATATTTTGGGCACATCTCATCTCCCTGGATAGATTATAAGCATCTTGAAAGGAGAAATCATATATTTTCCTTATATGTGTTTGTGTGTCTTAGCTCAGACTGCTAAAACAAAATGTCATGTATGGGTTGCTTATAAACAACAGAAATTTATCTCTCACAGTTCTGGAAACCGTAACTACGAGATTACAGTGTCAGCATGGTCAGCTTCTGGTAAGAGCACTCTTCAGATTTTAGGTTGTGACTATTTATCTCTTCACATGGTGAAGAGCGGAGCAAAGCAAGCTCTCGGGATTCTTAAAAGAGGACTAATCCCATTCATGCGGGGACCTCCTCATGACCTCATCTAATCCTACTTACCGCCCAAAGGCTACCCTCACAATATTATCACATTGGAAAATAAGGTCGCTGGCCTCCCTGGTGGCGCAGGGATTAAAGACACGGCACTATCAAGCTATCACCAGCCACTGCAGCAAGAGTTCGATTCCCATTCCCAGCCGGCCAGGGAGATACTCACATGGTGCAGCAGACCTCTCCTGTCTCGCCCGCTGCTCCCCTCAGCAGTGTATTTCAGTAGATCTGACTGTTCTGTTCCCCACTCTGTCTATGGTGAATCCACTTACCCACCCCTCCATCCCCGCACCTCTGACCCCACACCCCAGTTCTTGTATAGATACATAAATCTTTTTTTGAAAAAAGATTTAACCATTGCTTTTCCATTTATTTCCAGCAGCCTCATCAGTTCATGTCATTCCTCCATTTAGAGTAAAAGCCAAAGTTTTTATTATGCCTACTTGATCTGCCCCAGCATTTGTTGCCTCTCTGATCGTATCCCCACCATCTCCATGTGTTCCTGCCCTGCCCCATCCACTCAACTCGAGCCACACTGTTCTCATTGCTCTCCCTGGAACATGTCAACCATCTGTCCATCTGAACTCTTTTGTAATTGTTATGCATTCCACCTGGAACTCTGCTTTTCGACTGAACTGCAGGATGCACTCCCTTCCTTCCTTCTGGTCTTTGCTCAAATCCTTATCTGTGAAGCCTTCCCTGAATGTCTATTTAAAATTGCAATCCACTATCTGCCCCACCCACTACTGCTCTATTCTGCTGTATTTCTTGTCATAGCACATTTCACTAGATGACACACTACCTATTTAACAATTTATTTGTTTCTCTTTCTCCCCCCATTAAGATCTAAAGCTCCATGAAAACAGGAACTTTCCTTAATTCAGTATCCCCAGTTCCTGGAATGCCAACTGACATGGTGCAGGCAATTCATAAATACTGTTTTTATTAAGAGAATGATTGGTAGAGAACGGAGGGTGATAGAGGGTTATTTACATGATTTGGTTGGTCTCCTGGATTTAGTTAGCACCAGAGCTAGAGGAGAGGAACATAAATCCTTAAATTACAGACTGGGGGACACTCTATCTTTCCTCTTGGTATGTGCTGTCTAGTGTGGCAGCCATAGCCACATGTGGCAATTAACCACTTGAAATATGGCAAATTTAAATTGAAATATTCTACAAATATAAGATGCACTCTAAATTTTGAAGACTTCA